GAAGTGTGTTTTTTGAATACGTAATAATGGATTTTCATCAAGTGTCGGTCAGATTCTACCATATTTTTGAAAGTTATGAACTTATCGACTGTGAAATATGATATATTCCAATGAAAGGCATCAACGTCTAATGGGGTTTCAACAGTTATTGGGTAGTCAGATATAAGAGTTCGATAAAATAATTTTGCATTCAGTACACCACTGATAATCAGTCTGAAAAATTGAAAAGCAGCTGAGGTGTTACAGATTTAGGAATATAATTTTCGTGGAAAGGATATCATTGTCATTGTCAAGTATATGTTTCATGCAGCTGTGATATGTAAATACTTGAATAATTTATATTCATGGGACACATATGTTAACACAAATCTCTTCAATTAAATAAGTATCATTGAAAAAGAAACTGCAATCAGTTATTACTTGATACTTCTTTCAGATATCTGTCCAATTGTTCAAAAGAGTGTATTCAAATGTTTCTTTTCAGATTCACATTCGGATTCTACTCTGATTCACAAAAGTCTCGTTAACTGCTTCTCTGTATAAATATCAAAAATGATCATCTCGAAATATAAAGCACATGAAGTTTCTGATACCAAAACAATACCAGTTGGAAGCTTTTTGAGTTGTCATTATTTTTGATAGACTGAAAGGAAATTTTTTAAACTTTGTTAGCCGAACAACACTTAAATTATCAATGTTCAATACAACTGATTCACAAACTTGAAATCCACTCAAAATACCCTTGATGTTGATAAGTTCTTGTGAAGCGATTCCAGCTGAGATATATTCTAGGTTTTTACTGGTTCTAACATCCTAAAACGTTTGGAAACTGTGCAAATGATGCGTACAAACAAAAAATCTCAAACAGTCCGAAATAGTCTCGGACACTTGTTTAAACCAGAACGCTTTTGAGGAGACCACTGTGTCACCTACGTATATATGAAGAGATGAAGACCAGAAAATACTATTAATCATGTCCATTTTGTTATGTAGCGTATCCCTATAGTCAGGTTAGGTAGACTTTTGGTAGGTAATCGATTCAGTTCATATACTGAACACTTGTGTGCTTCGCACCATAATTCTTTTGGAACTTCGGAGTCTATTAATTTTGGTCTTATTTAATTTATCAATGTCCTGTTCATTTTCTCCGCTTTGCCATTTTCTTGTGGAGTGTAAGGGATTGTGTATTCTAAAATGATTCCTTTTTTCAAACAATATGTTTTGAAATTGTTTGAAATATATTGTTCACCATTGTCGAGTTTCATAGCTTTACCTTTCACATCCATTTGTCTTTCAATTACTCGTACGTACTCTATTAGATTCTGATCAGCCTTATCTTTTGCTTTTAATGTTTAGACAACAACAAAATGTGAGTAGTCATCAATTATTGTTTGAAAATATTTCGATCCATCAAAAGCTACTGGATTAAGTGGTCCACATACAGGCTTGCCTTCGATACATGTTGAACACATTTTGTCCATATTTGGTAAGCCAACTTGTGTTAAACCGGGATGGCCTAGTCTTCTTGTGCCACAGATCACTTGCTATTGTTCCATATTCACCCTTTTTTCCAGGTGCTTCCTCATTTACAACTTTGCCAGCTGTTAGAATATATAATCCTTTTGAGTAATCACAATTCAGAAGAAAATTTTCTCCTTTTATCTCCATTTTGTGTTTTTCCATGATTATCGTGCATCCTTTTTCTGTCATTTTTTATGCAGATAGTAAATTATGCAGCATATATGGTTCTATTGAGGCTTCAACAGACACCTTTTGTCTTTGGCATTCAAATTTCAAAGTTCCTTTTTCATTAGTTTTCAAATTTTCACCATTTGCTATCTGGATTGTTACATACTGGGGTAGAGATTTTATTTCGGTCATGTGTTTCTCAATATCTTCTTTCACAAAGTGGTTACTCTGATATCACATAAATTTGCTGCATACAACTGTATTTCAGTTTCATTTCGTTTCTCATCAGCGTTATTTGCCTGCTGCTGATTATGTTGCCTGTGATTTCTACTAACGGTACCTTAATATCCCGGTCTTCCTCTACCACGACCTCTAGTATTTTAAGTTTGATACTTCTTTCAGATATCTGTCCAATTGTTCAAGAGTGTATTCAAATGTTTCTTTTCTGATTCACATTCGGATTCTACTCTGATTCACAAAAGTCTCGTTAACTGCTTCTCTGTATAAATATCAAAAATGATCATCTCGAAATATAAAGCACATGAAGTTTCTGATACCAAAACAATACCAGTTGGAAGCTTTTTGAGTTGTCATTATTTTTGATAGACTGAAAGGAAATTTTTTAAACTTTGTTAGCCGAACAACACTTAAATTATCAATGTTCAATACAACTGATTCACAAACTTGAAATCCACTCAAAATACCCTTGATGTTGATAAGTTCTTGTGAAGCGATTCCAGCTGAGATATATTCTAGGTTTTTACTGGTTCTAACATCCTAAAACGTTTGGAAACTGTGCAAATGATGCGTACAAACAAAAAATCTCAAACAGTCCGAAATAGTCTCGGACACTTGTTTAAACCAGAACGCTTTTGAGGAGACCACTGTGTCACCTACGTATATATGAAGAGATGAAGACCAGAAAATACTATTAATCATGTCCATTTTGTTATGTAGCGTATCCCTATAGTCAGGTTAGGTAGACTTTTGGTAGGTAATCGATTCAGTTCATATACTGAACACTTGTGTGCTTCGCACCATAATTCTTTTGGAACTTCGGAGTCTATTAATTTTGGTCTTATTTAATTTATCAATGTCCTGTTCATTTTCTCCGCTTTGCCATTTTCTTGTGGAGTGTAAGGGATTGTGTATTCTAAAATGATTCCTTTTTTCAAACAATATGTTTTGAAATTGTTTGAAATATATTGTTCACCATTGTCGAGTTTCATAGCTTTACCTTTCACATCCATTTGTCTTTCAATTACTCGTACGTACTCTATTAGATTCTGATCAGCCTTATCTTTTGCTTTTAATGTTTAGACAACAACAAAATGTGAGTAGTCATCAATTATTGTTTGAAAATATTTCGATCCATCAAAAGCTACTGGATTAAGTGGTCCACATACAGGCTTGCCTTCGATACATGTTGAACACATTTTGTCCATATTTGGTAAGCCAACTTGTGTTAAACCGGGATGGCCTAGTCTTCTTGTGCCACAGATCACTTGCTATTGTTCCATATTCACCCTTTTTTCCAGGTGCTTCCTCATTTACAACTTTGCCAGCTGTTAGAATATATAATCCTTTTGAGTAATCACAATTCAGAAGAAAATTTTCTCCTTTTATCTCCATTTTGTGTTTTTCCATGATTATCGTGCATCCTTTTTCTGTCATTTTTTATGCAGATAGTAAATTATGCAGCATATATGGTTCTATTGAGGCTTCAACAGACACCTTTTGTCTTTGGCATTCAAATTTCAAAGTTCCTTTTTCATTAGTTTTCAAATTTTCACCATTTGCTATCTGGATTGTTACATACTGGGGTAGAGATTTTATTTCGGTCATGTGTTTCTCAATATCTTCTTTCACAAAGTGGTTACTCTGATATCACATAAATTTGCTGCATACAACTGTATTTCAGTTTCATTTCGTTTCTCATCAGCGTTATTTGCCTGCTGCTGATTATGTTGCCTGTGATTTCTACTAACGGTACCTTAATATCCCGGTCTTCCTCTACCACGACCTCTAGTATTTTAAGGACATTTCCCAAATCAAATGATCTGTACTTCCGCATCTGTAGCGTCTTCTATTATCAGATGCCTTGAAACTTGTCTCACTGTCATACTTTGACACTCATGTGACAGTAACTTTAATTCTTCATCTAGTAATCTACCTTTTGCAAAATCTATGGTCAACTTATTAACTGTTTCTAGAGCTGTTACGATTGTACCATATTTTGGTGGTAATGTTAAAAGCAAATGACATATTCTTATAACTTTCATCTAAAACAGTTCCATGTTCTTTCAGCTCTCGAATGACTGAGTCAAACTCACAAAATGTTCTTCTAATTTTTCTCAAATTCCGCCTTTAGATTTATAAGCCTTCTCCAAGTTGATAATTTGGCAAATACAGCTTTTAGAGCTTCAACTTGTTTTTTTGCACTTTTGCAGTCTTTGACAATGTCCAAATGTTTATCAGACAGTCCCTGAACTATTATTGATTGAGCTTTTGTGTCTTTCTTATGCCAGTCCTTCTTTTCAGCTTCACAGCGGCAACAGAAGCTTGTAGATTTCCAAAAGTATCGTTTTTTCCATTTTGCTCTTAATTGCGTGTACAAAGTTTCTGCACTCAATAATTAATTTTCTCTAGCATACTTAATGCAAATGTCACATTTGTGTTTTTCAAGACATTTTTTCAGTAGGTTGGGTGAAACCCATGAATTTCGACAACTATGGAAAGGTTGCGTGCCTGTCTTGAACTCGTCGTTTGCGCAGACCTGAGACTGCAACTCCTGGGTCTGCGTGTAGAAAATTTGGACCAAAAATCACCCGAAGTGGGATTACTGTATAAGTATAGTGTGACCATATATTCATTCTATCACACTTGTCATAATTCCCTAGCACAAGAACAGTGCGTTCAAATATAAACTTTTCATCACGTTTTCAAGACTTCAGGTAGTCCCCAGAATAGCCCCCAGAATTTGAAATTGACTCATGAAAAGAATCTGGACATGGATTTGTGATGGAATTATTATAAGTATTCCACGAAGCACGTTTTGAAATCCTGGAACGGCCTTCGATAATTAGATTAATGCCTAGTTTTTTGCAGCAATTACTCTCGAGAACTACACTTGATTAGATTTATTTTTAAAGGTTATGTTGAAATTCCATGCCAAACTTCAGTTGAACTATCAGCTGTTTCAATCAGAAATATCAAATTAATCAGAAACCAATATCTATCAGACATGCGCGTTGACAACGATTTACAAACTGTTGGAAATCTGTTGGTGACTCAAGGTTGGAACGAACCTATAGAAATAGAAAATAATACTTAGGTGTGTAATGAAAGTTTCAAACATTTCCTTACGAATATTATGTAAATGAGAACAAGCATAAGAGATTCTTCTTCTCTATTTTGGTAGGGTGTGTGTAAAATGTATACACCACATGCAGTAATTATAGACTGAAAATGTTTATCGAGGTGGTCATTTTTAATACGCGATATACCTATATTCTAGTAGAAAGATATGAAGATATTATCGTAGAAAGTGAAATTGTTACTGCATGAAAATTTTCAACCGAAAAATGACTAATTTACAGGTTACTATACGAATTAACATACACATCTAATCAACATAGACTCGTTTAGAATTTCATTAATGAAAGAGTAAAAAGTTAGTAGAATAGTCCCAATTCATAGAAAAATAGTTATTTCTGAAATTTTTGCAAGTTATTTATAAAACATGTAAGTTTTCACAAGACTTGGATTTACTAATATCGTTCATGCAAATTTTTTGTAGTATCTCCCTGGCTATATTCAAACTGAGACTCGTTTTCGAACCGTGTAGTTTGTTGGTGTCCTTCTTCAGATTGGATTTTTTCTTTTCTCTGGACTCTCTCAACCTGATCTGTTTCAGAATCCCCACGAGAAGTTCGTCCACGTTGTGCTGTATGCCACTCGATGTCTCTATAAATTTACAGTCTCTGGCCACTGCTAATGCTTTTCCCTCTGCGAAAAAGCGATTTAAAAATGCATGAGACAAGTTTTACGGCTAACATGAACCTAATTCAATAATCATAGAGCTTTCTAAATGTTTAGAGAGCAGGACGGACATTAATATTACAGTCAAACCTTAAAAATTATTGACTTCATACCGGGGCTAAAACTGAATAATATCAAAAAATATTTCGGGAAAAAATCGCGTTGTAACAGAAACTCAGATTGTTTTTTCAATAGACACAAGAAGACCTTTTTTTAATTTTTTTATTCTACTCCATAGAACAAGGTGAGACTAATATTTGTGTCAGAACCTTGTAATCGTTTTGAGACTATATTTTCATTGTATGTTTCTGATCTCAGCAAACCGAGAACTATTTTTAAGGATTCGAGTCTGAAATAGTGAAAGGAACAATTCAGAAATGATAATATTTTTTTCTATAATAGTCTGCAATATGAGAGAGCAATTCACCCTTCTTGTATTCCGTAGAAAAAAAAGTACTGGTGATGCTTTGAAAGTTTTGTGTTTTATCCAATAAATACTTTTAAAATACTTCGCTCAAATGAAATGAGTAAAAACACTTTTATCTAAATACCAGTGGTATTTAGACAAAAGTGTTTTTTATTCATTTCATTCAAGTGATCATGAATTACCATTCAGTAAACAAGTCATCAATCATACATACAATACTTCGCACTACACATATTGATCAATTGAACTACTCCGCTTTTGCCCTTGATGCTGAAATTCATATAGGAAAATGTTCCACATCAACCGACAGTATTACTGTAATAAACTAATCAATTCTGTTCAAGGAACAAATAAGAATTTGACCTTGGATAACTGGTTTACTTCTGTTGAGACTGCAAAACAACTTCTGGAGAAAAAAAAATTCGTTGTTGGTACTATGCGAAAAAAAAAAAAGAAATTCCTGAGTCATTTTTAAAACTCAATAAGAGGAAAATAAATTTTGCTATGTTTTGCTACAGTGGACACCTGACACTGTTATCATACTGCCCACCTATGAAGACTAAGAAAAAAACTCGACAATGCACGATAAGGTGATGAGCCATATACGACCAAGTAACCAGAAATCATTCAATTTTATAGTTTTACGAAAGGAGGAGTCGATACTTCAGACCAACTGTGTCACACTTATTTTACTGGTACAAAGACACGTCGCTGGCCATTATGTCTGTTCTATAATTTGTTGGAAATTCTGATTTATAATTCAATGTTTTTTTCTGCGTGGCTCTGGTGAAGCAGATAAAGAAATTATTACCAACAGTAGAGAATACCTGAAGAAGCTCGCCCTTGAACTGGTCATACCGGAGCTGATGAGTCGTTTGGAAACTCCAACTTTGAGGCGCGAACTCCGCGAAACCATATGCAGAGTACTCAAAATAACTGCTCCTGAAGAAATACCTACTGAATCACCAGCAACAGTGGGGAGGTGTGCTCTTCATCCCAGAAGCGAAGATTAAAAATCAAGAGTAAGCTGTGCAGTGTGCAAAAAGTTCATTTGTTTACAACATCAAAAAAATTTGCTGGATTTGTGCCATGATGTATTCACGTTGAAAGTGATTTTAGAGGCTTAATTTAAGTTGTTATTCTCCTATAAGTGAATACATTTTTCGTTTGTCAAAAATACGACATTTTTTGTTCGAGGTACGACAGTAGGTACCCCTCTGTAGCAGATGCGTCTTCTGCAATAAGTGTAGCATTCCAGGGTTTTAACTTCACTTTGCAGTCATTCGAAATTATTTTGTGGACTTTTATGTTTTTGTCGGTAACAGCCTCTTTGAAGGGTTCACTGCGTGCTCATTTCACCTCATTTAAATCTAGCAAACCACCTCTCAATGGTTGATATTCCTGGTGCGAAGTCCTAATGATATTTATCAAATCAATCCTTGGCTCCAACAGTATTTTTTCACCAAAAAGCAATGCTTTATTGACACACGATATTCATTTTTATCCATTTTCTTCCAACTAACAAAAGTCGTTTCACTCAGAATGTTTTATCCCACAAACTAATACTCCAACAGCTGTGAAATTTGTACAAGTGTCTTTTGAAGGATAGGGTTAGCTAAAAATCAAATGTATTCAGTACTAGTAGCTTCATATGTGTGTTAGTCCAGGAACTTTTCAAGTCATCTCCAACTAACAAAAGTCGTTTCACTCAGAATGTTTTATCCCACAAACTAATACTCCAACAGCTGTGAAATTTGTGCAAGTGTCTTTTGAAGGATAGGGTTAGCTAAAAATCAAATGTATTCAATACTAGTAGCTTCATATGTGTGTTAGTCCAGGAACTTTTCAAGTCATCTAGAATTAAAACTGGTATATATCAGAACGAAAATATCACAAAAGCATTGCTGTATGCAAAATATAGGAAAATTTTTCTTGATTTCAAATGTGATAGGGACTCAAAGAAAACAGCTGCACCTTGATTTAAAGGTAATCAGATTAAAGTTATACATGAAATATTTGCTGAAGAAATTGAAATGTAATATCACGAAATGCTGAATGGCAATCTCAACTCAATTCTATATAAAAAATAAAATGCACGCTTGTACACTAATGACTTTCGAATACTCAATCAATAAAGCTTACTGACCATTGGTTGGTATAACTCTGGCTCTGGCTAGATCAGCCTTGTTTCCCACGACTATAACGCTCTTTTCCTGGGTGTATCCTTCCCTCCACAAATAGTTGAGTGTTTCCTCGGCATGTTGGAAACTAGATCTAGATACCACAGAGTAAACCATCACACAAGCATGCGGTTCATAAGTACTTAATGAATTCTCCACCTGTTAACAGAAAATTAGTTTCAAATTAATTTTGAAGACCACAAAGATATTCCCACATGCGGATAAAGGGCTTAAAATGTTGTTACTGATTATCGGGAACTGCCTATAGGGTGAAGAAGAAAAAAGGGTATACCTTAATTTGAAAAAAAATTGATAATAATTGAGTTGTGTTTCTAAAATCAGTTCATGATGAACATGTAAAAATTGAAATTTAGTAACAAGATTTCTTTCAATGTATATAAAAACCGGTAATGCCTGATATTCTTGTGACGAAACAGATATGTTTCATGAGTTGTCAAATACTGTAGAAGAAGAGACCGATTTTTTCCCTTGTTTATTCGTTCATGGTCACAAATATTAAGATTAAGATTTATGTGAGGAATGGAGGCGAATATTATTATTATTTCAATTGTTATATCAAATGTTTACCTCTAACCTACTTTTCTTTCTGATATCCTTTCACTGCTGTCAGTATTTCTAGACCCAAATTATTTTGGATTCAATAACACAATATATAACAACAATAAATGCCTCGTAATGGGCGATACTTCAAGCCTCCTCGCTGAAAATTCCATGGACAACTTTGAAAAAACTTATGATGCACTGTTTGGAACCTTTGGTGTAGTAATGAATAATACTGGAGTTTTTTCCCAACACCAAATTGTTTTTTTCAACACCTCGACACGTGTTTCGATCACCAAGTTATCATCTTCAAGAGGAAGATTAATCTTCCTCTTGAAGATGATCACTTGGTGATCGAAAAACTTGTCGAGGTGTTGAAAATAATTCATAATAGAGCTAGAAACCAAGAATTCCATAAACTTTTTGGACCTCACAATCGCAATTTGAGACATACGAAACCATACAGACACAACTATCAAGAATCATATCATGATCTACATACTCAACAGTATCCACAGATAATTTTATTGAGAAATTGAATTCGATGAAACATATTGCCGGAAACAACAAATTCAACATGAACATCATTGAATACATCCTCAACAAAGAACTTTTCTAACTTGTCATGAACCAAGTATACCTCCACATTGAAAATGTGGAAAAAGACTACTAACAAATCTAACTTATCATTTCACTAGTTAGGTAAAGAGTAGAAAGAAATGAAAAGATAAAAAAAAAGAATCAAATAAAAAAAATCATTTCAAGTTTCATTGCTTATATATAATTAATATTTCAGCTAGTCATTCTAACTTTATTTGTTCTTTCATGGATCGCGAATCATATTAGATGAAAGTTCTAACTAGTGAAATTCACCATGAAACATTGTCAACCACTTTCAAACAAACGCAGCATAAGACTGGTAACTCCTCGAGTAAACATATAAAGAGCAACATAAGTGGACAAAGGTAACATATCAGGGGTCCACAAACTAAATGTGGATCATACCCAAAAGCTAATATGGAAAGATCAGCAAAGAATTTCCAAACGATAATCCAAGAAAATGCTGCAGAATTTGGAAATTGATAAACGCAAACATTGAATTTTTTTATCTAACGACCAAGAAGGAAAAGCTGAAAGGAAAAGCCTTCTCGAAACAACTACTTTCATATGAACTTCAAATTACACGAAAGAAAAAAACTTTGAAACAACTAATTTTACAGAAAACACTTTTTCTTATACAGTTTCTACTCGGAGTGTTCGTTATAGAATCGAATCAGATATCGTTCACAGATTCAAAGGATTGCTACCCGACATAGTATATGAAAGACGTGAAATTTCACTTACATGAGACACTGTCATTCTCAATGGTGGTTATCCGATGTTTCGGTATAAGACACCTGTTTTATTGTCTCTCCAGCACCAATTTATATAACATTACAAGATGAAGCACTCAATTCACTTCATGTCACTTCCATATACTATATTGTTTAGCAATCCTGTCAATGATATCCAATTCAAAACATAACGAATGTTTGGTGTAGGTACAAACTGAATGATAAGAAGTATTTTTTTGTTCGATTCAATGTTTATATAAACATTTTTGAAGTATTTTTTCTTTCGTTTGATTCAACTTTTACTAACTAAATTAGTTCAGTCTTCCTCTAAACTAGTTTAATTTTTTTCTTGAACTAGTTCAATCTCCCTCTGATAACAAGTTTAATATTTCTCTTGAAGAAACACGAAACACGTTTCAAAGTATTAAAATAACGGTTTTGTGTTGGGGTAAAACTAGTTTGGTTTAATTTTCTTCTTGAAAATGATCACTAGGTGATACAAACACGTGTCGAGGTGTTAAAATAACGGTTTGCTGTTGGGAAAAATCTCCAATAATATTCATTACTACACCAAAGGTTCCAAACAGTGCAGTACATGAAAGTAGTTGTTTGAAGAATGCTTTTTCCTCCACCAGTTTATGTCTGGAAGTTATCTTTTTGCATGAACTACTTTGTATGGAGTTTATTTATTATGGAGAAATGATTTGCTCTCTTCCTTTCTTTAGAAGATTTCTACATTCTTTTACATGGAGATGGAGAATCTCTTGAACTAGTTTAATCTCCCTCTGATAACTAGTTCGATATTTCTCTTGAAGAAACACGAAACACGTGTCAAAGTGTTAAAATAACGGTTTTGTGTTGGGGTAAAACTAGTTTGGTTTAATCTTCTTCTTGAAGATGATCACTAGGTGATAGAAACACGTGTCGAGGTGCTAAAATAACGATTTGGTGTTGGGAAAAATCTCCAGTAATATTCATTATTACACCAAAGGTTCCAAACAGTGCATTACATGAAAGAAGTTGTTTGAAGAATGCTTTTTCTTCCACTAGTTTATGTCTGGAAGTTATCTTTTTGCATGAACTACTTTGTATGGAGTTTATTTTGAAATGATTTGCTCTCTTCCTTTCTTTAGAAGATTTCTACATTCTTTTACATGGAGATGGAGAAGTAGAAAGCCATACATTTTCTTCACCAGAAGTTCATCTTTTCTAAAAATATACCCTTTTCCGTTCAATTCACATATTGGCTTACTTCTTGAATATTGGATTTGAAAATAAAGTAAATATATTTCATTTGAAAAACAAAACTTCGTCAAATTGTCCTTGAGTGGAACAATGAAAGATGAAGCTATTTCAACCTCACTTCTCGTAACTTTTTTGTTGAGTTTATCAATTTCAGTTCGAAGGATTCAGAGTTTTAAGGAAAAAAAATGAATTACAAATTTTTTCAATTTATTCATTCAGTTAACATTGAATTGAATATTCAGTTAAATTCAGTTAAATAATTAGATTACATGAATAACTATTTTATGTGCTATTTTGAATTCACCAAAAAGTTGAGAATTACACCTAACCATAGAATATGCTTGTATTGTGCCTATTCTCCCAATTTGAATTAATCGTTATGACTATAGAAAACAAAACAAAAAGTTTTCATATTATAGGTTATATAATATATTGGAGAGAGAAGGTGAATGCAATGGACCAAAGAAAGGAGTGAGAGTGGGTGTTTCATGAATGAATACTCCTTGGAATTTTCGTAAGCTATAAATTTGTGTCAGTTTTGTACTAGGGGATTCAAAAGATATTGTTGAATATTGTTGCATTTTCAGCGAGGTATATTTTAAATTTTTTTTTAATTTGAGAAGAGTATTGATATTTTTCAGAGGTGCTGGGAGCATATTGTAGAGTTTTGGACTGAGTGTGTCTTGTGAAACAATGGTAGTTGCATTTTATCAGTGAATCTACTCACTTTGGATTATCATTGGTCATATTTTTCATTGTTTGAATCAATCCATATCAGACTTTGGAAAATATATAAGGATCTGATGTTTAGTAATTCGGTTTAGTAATTTGGTTTGAAATTGTTTATTATTCCACACTTGAATTTCAATACTGGATAAGACAGGATATTTATCACTTTGGCAATGAAACTTGCAACAGAAATTATCATATAGTTTCAATCATCAAGAACAAAATTGATATTTCAAATATCCTATGACATCAGTCGAGGATATTCAGAAAGAAAACGATTCATCGAGAGAGATTATCATTTAATTTTTCATAGACTACCGATATAGGTTACTGAATAACAGAACATTTTTTGGAATGAACTAGAAGCTTACCCTTTTCACACTAGTTTGAAAAAGAAAACTGGATGATATCTAAAACGAATGATGAAAAACAAACTTCTCATTCAACAATATGGCATAATTTTCTTTCAATATCAGTTATTTCTCTACGTTAGTTGAAGTAATAATTGAAATAATTCAATATTCCCTTCAACCAAAAATATAGCTGCTCGTCTTTCAAACCAAGCATAAGTTGAAATCGATGTCGAAACTTTCTACTGAAAATGAAAAACGTATTAATGACTCCCAATCACAATCACATAATAATACCTACTGCAATGAACTATTCAAACCTAAGGATTTCTTATAACACATGGGCTGAAAAATCCCAGGCCTACAAAAATAGTATATTATATACCTAGGGTGAGAAGTGAGCTATTATTTACCGAGCATTTTCATATCCTGAGGCGCGTAGTGCCGAGGAATATAATGTACCAGGTAAATAATAGCTTTCTCAGCCGAGGTATATATAGAATTTTTTTCACTACTAACAATTTTAATTTTGGCATTACTAATTTTCTAACACTTTGTTGAATATATCGGAATATCAAGTAGAGTGGAGCGTATTTCTAATCACACTGGCTTTATTTATGTAAAAATTTGGCATGTGTCAAATTTTGATATGAATCTAGGAAATATCTCATTGCATTAATGATATATTTCGATGTTCCACTTCTCTCATAGCTTCTGTATGTTCAGAACTTAGAATTTCTCAATTCTGCATTATAGTGAGGAAAAAATGTCCTTGGTTATATGATAACCAAGGCAGCTATGAATTGTTGCATGTCAAATTGAAACGGTACAGTTTCCATGTTGAATACACGATGTCGATGATAAGCGCGCAACACCTACTTAGGCCATGAAAACGTTTGCTGGCTTTTCCATGACAACCAATCACTGTACAATGATTATC